GGCAAAGTATAATTGGCCATTCAAGAACCAATTTTCCAAGTGTACGTGACATATGGCAATATCCGATTGGATAAAAATAAGTCACCAAAAATAATTTATAGACCAATGATAATTTTAACAATTAATTAAAATTTCATTGTCTACAAATGCTCCCTCGAAATTTGTTCACGAAAAAAAAAATTAAAGCAAGCTTTGAGTGAACGAGTTTCGATTTCTTTCTTTTTCTTCTTGGCTTAATTCGGTTGTCCTATTAATCTCCAACTCACGCCCACTAATGTATGAAGCTCCACAGCTCTTAATTGATAACATAGAATGATGATTGCATGCTCCAGTGATTTCAATTTTCCCGAGGCCGAATCAATTTACGTAGTAGCTTCACATTTGCTATCTTAGACCAATTCCATACTTTTGTGGTACTTAATCATTGATGGGCTAACCAATTAACTTCCCCACTGAACACATTCGAAACCCGAGGAACCGTTTGACACAATTATTCAGAAACCCAACTCGCAGAGGAAGTTTATTGCAAAAACAATTCTTCTCCAAAGTCCTTTTGAGTCGGAACTGTACGTCCCTTTCTTTCTCCTTGTCCCACTGTACTAAACAGGAAGAAACCAATTTCTTTTGTGAGTCAACTCTCTCGGCTTTGACATATTAACTTGCTGAGCCGCAAATAACGAGCCCTTTGTCACCTCAAATTGAAACACCTTTTACCAGAATCCTCCTTGAATATGGACCGCATATCTGCTATATATACCCGATGGTTTGAGGCATTAATTTACCCACACTCCAAAGGCGAACCGCCTCTTTTTTTTCTGCTAGTGTTATCAGGCTACTGCTCGTTCCTCGTGACTTGTTTCTACTGCATTGACCTCGTGCAAGCCACCTGCAAAATCTGGTCTCTGCCTCTACCACAATTTTGAAGGTAATTACCTCCAATTCTTGCTCATAAATATTCGTACCCTTTCATATTGATGGCACCCCTTTTTCTTGCTTCAGAGTAGGAATATTTGACGGCTGATTCTACCAAGTTGATGCCACCTGCTATTCATATCCTGCCGATACCTTTTTTTTTTTTTTTCCAACCACCAGGATAACACCAACTATGATATTTGAGCCTTTTTTGTTTTGTATTTTTTGTTTTGCTCATTTACTAGGGTAATACCAAATATGATATTTGAACCCCCCTTTTGTTCTTAACACTAAATATGATATTTGAGCAAAAGTTTTTTTTTGTTGCCCTAACCCATGTCAATATCTCAACTTTACTAACTTGCTCTTTTGTAGATACCCCATCTCGTGCCTGAAAAGGAGCTTGAAACAATTTCGGGGATTTGAAGAGAGCCACCGATTAGGTAATTTAATTACCGAAATTTTGTAAGAAATTCCCTTCATCGTCTAATACTTTCTTTTTCAAAATTCCAGCAACCATGCAGATTAAGGACTACGCCGTACCACTGCCGTACATTTCACTGACGGATGAACGGGGAGGAACTCAATCAAAGAGCCTGTCATTACACGTTTACAAATCGGCAATCGGCCCGCTCGCTGAATCCTTCATACCCCTCTAAGGATATTTTCATCTAAAAAATTGGACTAGCAAGTGGACTAAGAAAGTGGTGGCACCGTCGACTTTCTCCACTACGTCGAGGGAAGAGGAAGTGGTTGTATTAAACTCGTCACTCCACAATGGAGACTCAGAAATAGCCAAATTCACACTTCCGTTCGTGGGATTCAATATTGACAAAACTTTATGGAAGATCCCTTCATCCTTCTTTGGTGAGGCGTGCTTTACCTCCTATTATTGGGAGTAGGTCGAGGACATTCTTGGAAGGTATAAAGAGGTACTCACACGCGCTGGCATATTTGAAGCTGTCTACGCGTCAAGATATTCCTACGACCGCTGTGAAAATATCTTGCGAGCCTTCTTCAAATATTGGTGTCTCTCGACAAACACACTTCATACGCCCGTTGGGGAGTTGTCCATCACACTTTGGGACCTTTATCGATTTGGCGGCCTTTCGATCGATGGCTCGTTCTTTGATGAAGTTGTTCCCTCGGCGCAGGAGCTTCTTACTCGTGACAAAGAGGGGAAGCCACTTCTCCCTGAGAGCTGCAGGCACCTCTTTTCCGCTTACTACCACCTTTGGACGAATGATCAAGGTGTATGGATGAAAGACTGGATCCGTTTCTGGTTCAAAGGAGATGCTAGGTATAGGGCTCCTCCGAATAGAGCGAATAGAAGGAAGACCACATCTAAATAAAAAATGACTTACAACCCTTCTGGAAGCGTGGAGCCTTACGACCTTGCCGATACGAATAACTTCAATGTCCCTTTTGACACCCTGGGTATCCCAGGGTCTCTAAGAAAGGAAACCTATATTGCAGCATTCATAGCGTGTTGGATTTACAAGTTCCTTTTGCCAAGCAAAAAGGTCGACCGTATTCGCCCAAATGTCTTCAAGGTTGCATGCTTAATGGCTACAGGGAAAAGATTTTGTCTTGCAATTCCCGTCCTTGCGAGCATATATCATGGGTTGAGGGAAATCGTCCACGCCCCTAACCTTGGAGAATGTGGGGTAACTTTTCCAATCCATTACGTCTATGCTTGGATTGACCAATACTTCGATGTATATTACGAAAATCATCAAGTGAGTAGCCACCACGCGCGCATGACAAGATTTAGTGGTGAGAAAATGGCAATATTTTATGGCCAATTGGAAGCTGAGGAAATCTTTAAAGAAACGAATCCTTTGATGCTTCCTAAATTGTGCTGGACTGAGAATGAAGAAAAGGCGTTGATCGATGATGGATCCTTATCATCAAGACTCACGAGCTACTTCATTAGTCAACGCTCTTTCCATTTAACTCTACGTAAGGACAATACTTTCATTATTAAAAAATATAATCCTTGCAGGTTCAACAAACAATTCGGTTTCTGTCAGGACATCCCCAACAACTTGAAGGAGATCACTCACACTTATACTTTGGGTGAGGCTATTCAACTATGGGATTCTTCAGTTCGCACGCAGACGCGATCTTGGATGACTATACCCACACACAGGAAGTATCCATTGATCACAAAAGACTATGATGCCTGGTGGTCGACTCAGTCAAATAGTGTCTCTTCAACTCCCTTAAAATTTACCGTTAAGATCCCTCGGCAATCGTCGAAGAAGGGTAAGGTTACCTCCGCCAACGAGTCAGTGCATCCTAATGGAGTTATAGAGATTGTAACGGGTCTTACCTCATCCACCTTGCGGAAGAACAAAACCATTAGCAGCCCCTTGGAAAACATTGTTACAAGAAATAAGTCTTCCAAGGACTCTCGACAGGCCATCAAAGAGGCGCAACCAGTGATTTCAGCAAAGAAGATGCCGCCCAAGGTCTCAAAATCTTTATCGATGACTCGCACAGAAGAAGATGTCGAAATCGAAACGGTGGACGATCGTGACTCTATCAAGGCCATAGAAAAGGAAGAGACTCAAATTCAGGGCATCGGATCTATCCAAGAAGGAGCCCATTCGTTGGCGAGCGGCAGTGGTAGCCAAGACCGTCATTGGAACCGATCGAAGAAGAGGACATCTTTTGATTTGGAGGAAGTTTCCTTTTCACCACCGTCGGTTGGAGTGTCACCACTTAAGATAATCATATCTTCCTTTTTTTTTAAACGCTTATAACATTTTTTTTTCAGCCCCCACTTCTTGAACTCCTCCAAGAAGATGTTGGTACCAACTCACCAATTGAGCTTTAGACTGATGCTATAATTTCAAACAAGAAAGGTGACGAAATCGTTATCAGCATCCCAAAACAACTTGCCCCCAGTGGCGGTGCTTTGTTAAAGAAGGAGCTGACTAGTTTGCATGAAATCCGAAAAAAACCTAAGGTAGCATTGGTTTCAGAATTTCATGGTCAAAAAATGATCCAGGCGCATCGAAGAAAGTACTTGCAAAGTTTGTGGATGGATTTTTGCGGACAGATTCTTGACACTCCAATTGAGCAGATCTCTTCTTTAAAAGAGTGTGCAGATGAAATCATTGCGGAAATCACAAGAACGGATCTTACCAATAGTCTCCCTTTAAAAAACCACTTGATAGAATTGTTTGCCAAGGCGGAGGCATATGATCTTTTGGCATCTTCATCGTGGGAAAGGATGAGCAAAAAAACACACGCGAAACTCCTTTCCAAAGCGACCATCCAACTCGGGAGAGTTAAGGCAAAGGAAGAAGAACTAACGTGCCATTTGCAAAGTTTTGAAGAAAAGTTGCAGTCCATTGAAGATAGGAAGAAAATTTTGCAACAGGAACTTATTGATTTGGAGAAACAAAGAATGGAAATCAACTCAACCATCGATCAAAAGCATGAGACCATCAACGAGGTCCAGACCGAGATAAGACAAGCACATGATGAACTCTCTTCTATTGAAAATACCAGCATCTTGACTGATGACGCAGTGAAGGAACTTGAAGACATGAAGTCTGCACTTGAATCATGCAAAATAGCTGTAGTGGATTATAAATTTGACATTTAGACTTTTTACCATGTCCTTTTCCTGAATTTGTTCCATTTTTTTTTCATGTAATGAAAATTAAATTTTTTTTTTGAATAAAATGCTTTCCGTTCCTTATCTCTCATTTTTTTTTCCTTAAAGATACAAGAACTCGAATGGAGCATTTTATTTAAATCTTTTTTTTTGGAAAGATAAAATTCTTCTTTTTTTTGTAAGGAACAAGGATTTGATTTGGAGTGGTGTAACTGAACTTAGAAGTTACCCTCTAAGCTGCCTACGTATCCCAACAAGGGAATTAAGTCACACGTAGTTCCTGCCGTTCACATTTTAACCTCATGCTGGCCAGGAGTATCTATTTGTTTACCACCTTAAACTTGGTGGAGTGTTTCAGCAGTTTAACCACATACTACACTATTGGTGGTTGTCATCCACAATTTTAGCTCATGCGGGTCAGGAGCATCGCGCGGTTCCGATTACGCATAGTACCTTTTTAGGTATTGCCATTGATGGGGCCAACCCTTAATCCATCTTCAGCAACCAACTTGTATGAGCCATTTGTATATACTTCTCGAACGAAATATGAACCATCCCATTTAAGAGTAAACTTTCTTTGTCCGTCATGAGTGAGAATGATTGGTCTCCGAACGACGAGCACTAACTCTCCAATTTGAAAAGAGCGGGGTCGAACGTGCTTATTGAATGCCTTTGAAAGGCGAGCCTGATAGCACTCAATCCGTTGCTGAGCTTCCAATCTCTTTTCGTCGAGCGCTTCTAACTCCTCAAGGCGAAGACGAACATTATCTTCTTCGTTGAGCCCCTCTTGAATTGCAATTCTTAGCGAAGGTATTTGACACTCAAGTGGAAGAACAGTTTCAACACCGTAAACAAACGCGTAAGGGGTTGCTTGTGTGGGAGTTCGAAAAGTAGTTCTGTATGCCCAAAGCGCTTCTCCAATTCGAAAATGTCAATCCCTTTTCGATTTATCCACGATTTTCTTCAACAGATTACATAAGGTCTTGTTGAATGTTTCAGCGAGTCCATTTGCGGCAGCGTAATACATGGACGAATTGTACTGTTTGAAATGAAACTTTTCACAAAGTTTGCTCATTGTTACATTGCAAAAAGGCATACCATTATCGGTGATGACATAACGCGGGACCCCATATCTATAAATGATGTGCGAGCGGATAAAATCTATTACATTCTCCTTTTTGACCTCTCTTAGAGGAACCGCTTCGGCCCACTTTGAGAAATAATCTGTTGCCGCCAAAATGAAAATGTGCCCTCCAGAAGACTTTGGAAGTGGTCCAACTATATCCAAACCCTAAGCATCGAACGGCCAAGAAGCTATAGTTGGATGCAATGGTTCAGGAGGTTGACGGATGAAATTGCCATGAAATTGACGAGCTTGACATCTTTTAACAAATCAATACAGTCGTTTACCATCGTTGGCCAGTAGTATCCCATTCTTTTAATACGAAAGTGTAATTTCGGGCCAAATTGGTGAGCACCACATATCCCAGAGTGAGCCTCCTCCATTGCTTGCATGGTCTCATCTTCTCCAAAACATCGTAGAAACACCCCATTGAATGATCTTCGGTAAAGCGTCCATTTGTAGTAAATGAAACGTGGCGCTCGACGACGTATATCGACCCTTTTCTTAGGATCTTCTGATAACTTTCCATGATTAAGGTAATTAATGATGAGGTGACGCCAATCCTCCTTTTCGATCTCATGGACAAAAATATGATAAGCATTTTCTTCCTCACCACCATCCTGTTCATCAAACATTGGAGGTATGACCCAATTTTGACATATTGAAATTTGATTTCGATGAGGAGGTAGAGTGATCATGGACGCCACCATTGCCAAAGAGTCAGTTTGTTGGTTAAAATTTCTAGGGATATGTTCTATAGTGACATTATCTAAATATCCCATGAGTTGCCTTGCATACTTAAAATAAGGGATCAATTCAGGTTTCTTGACATCATAAATATCAAGAAGTTGATTTACCACTAATTTTGAATCACCATAGACTCTAAGATGCAATTGTTTCATGTCAACAGCCGTTTCAAGACCGAGAATTAATGCCTGATATTCGGCCACATTGTTTGAATACCGACGTGTTAAAGTGAAAGAGTATGGCAACATATCTGATTCAGTAGTATAAAATATAACTCCTGCACCAACTCCGTCACGGTGCGCGGCTCCATCGAAATACATCGACCATGGGGATTCGATCATAAACACTTCCTCATCGGGGAGTTCATCAGTCAACTCCCACTCGGCAGGTATGGGATGATCGGCTAAAAAGTCCGCCAATATTTGTCCTTTGACAGCCTTCGCAGGTACATAAATAATTTCAAACTGTTGAAACTGGAGGTACCATCTCGCGAGTTGATCAGACAGTACAGGTTTTGCCATGACATATTTGATGGGATTAGACTTAGATATGAGTCGAATAGTGTGTGCTTGAAAATAATGTTTCAACTTCTGAATGACAAATATAAGTGCAAAACACAACTTCTCGATGGGTGAGTAGTTCAACTCATTAGATGTCATCATCCAGCTCAAGTAATACCGTGCATTCTCCTTACCTTCATTGTTTTCTTGAGCAAGTAAGGCCCAACCGACCGTTCTTGAGCGGAAATATAGAGAATCAATGATTTTCCTGGAATGGGCACAGTCAGCACTGGGGGATTCATGAGGTACGCTTTGATGCTTGTAAAAGCATTCCTACACGATTTATCCCACTCGAATGGTACCCCTTTCTTCATCAGTCGACTAAAGGGTTGGCATCGTCCGGCCAAATTAGAGATAAACCTCCGGATATATGTCAATTTTCCTTGAAGGCTCTTCAATTCATGAATATTTCGCGGTTCAGGCATGTTCACAATGGCATCAATTTTAGATCGATCGACCTCTATTCCCCGCTGATGAACGATGAAACTGAGAAACTTGCCAGAAGTGACTCCGAATACGCACTTCAAAGGATTCATCTTCAGTTGGTATCTCCGAAGGCGTTGAAAAACTTTTCGAAGGTCTTGAATATGATGCTCTCGCTTCTTTGATTTCACCACAAGGTCATCAACGTAGCACTCCACATTCCTATGGAGCATATCATCAAATATTTTTTGCATTGCCCTTTGATATGTCGCTCCAGCATTTTTTAAATCGAATGACATTACTTTATAGCAATAAATTCCCTTGGGAGGCGGAAGGCCGTGAGCTCCTCATTCTCTGGCGCCATGCAATATTTGATTGTAGCCAGATGATCCATCGAGAAAAGATAGTGCTTCATGTCCGGTTGTAGCATCTACCGTCAATTCTGTGATGGAAAGCGGAAAATCATCTTTGGGGCAAGCCTAATTTAAGTCTCGAAAATCAACACAAATTCGAATTTGCCCGTTTTTCTTCCTTACAGAGACGATACTTGAAATCTATGTCGGATATTTCACTTCCCGTATGAATCCAGTTTCAATCAATCTATTTATCTCATTTTCTATCAGAGGAATCAATTCGGGTCAAAAGCGCCTTTTAAGTTTGCTTGACAGGTTTTGTTCCTCGCTTGACAGACAAATTATGAACGGCGATCCTTGGATCCAAACCAGGCATTTCTGAGTAATTCCAGGCAAAGACGTCCCTGAACTCAAGTAGCAAATCAACATACTCTTTTTCTTCTTCAGGAGTCATACAAGAGTTTACGTAAATTGGGCGAGGATCGTCGCTTGTGCCAAAGTTAATCTATTTTAGGGCATCGACTGTATTTTTTACCTCTTGTTCAAGTTCAGGGGGAGCGTCATCCGCATCTTCTTCGGGATCACTGATCGTAATATGGTGACAGGAAGCCATATTTTCTTGACCCTGTTCTTCAAAAATGGTTTCAATTCTTACATTGAATAAGTCTCCGTAGTGCATGAAGAAATTGGAGACTCGTTTACTTGGTATGTTCTTCTTTATTGGAGTAAGACTTTTTTCCTTGGCAACTTGGTACTTTTGCTTTTTACTGACTGATCTTTCATAGATGGGCGGTTTCAAATTTTTCGGCTGCGGGTCAAATCTGTCAAACGTAGAAGTACGCTTTGACTTGTTTCCCAACCTATCGAACACAGATCTCCTTCGGCTTGTGACCTCTATTTCCTCGTTTACGTAGTTACAACTTGCCCTTTTGATCACTATACGCACTGGAGAAGGCGGTTGATAATCAAGACCCATCGATGAACTTTCAACATTATAGCCTTTTTCTTTCAATATTTTCTGCGTAGGTGTTAATCCACGAGTCTTCTTACCAGTCACCTCAGGAGGGAGTTTGCCCAGTGCATGCTTCTCATTCGGGTTATAACCGACCTTAGCAAGAAGTCTGTATGCGTTTGGATCAAAACCTTCTTGAGTCCGATTAGTTGGTAGTGAGTAATGTTCTACTGCCGGTTCTTCTTTGGGACGAACAAACCCTTGCAATCTCACTTTCTCACTTTTAACAGGCTCTATTTTGGTGAGCGGAACATTTAATGTATCATTCCTGATAAAAGATGACTGACCTTCTTCTCTCCTTGATCTTGGAATATATCGCAAAATGGGTACTTTGAAATCTTGACTTTCTTCCTTCACTGATTCTTTTCTTTTTGCTTCTTTCTGAAGGTAAAATTTGGCGTCCGCAAAGTGAGTTTCAGCCTCAGTGAAAGGTTTGTCATCGACAGTAACTTTCTTAACTATACCGTCTCGACAATATTTGAAACATTGATGCAGAGTTGACGGTATAATTTCATTCTCGTGAATCCAGGGTCGTCCCAAGAGCATATTATAAGAGGTTTTGGCTTCAATGATATGAAATAACGCACTTGAAGATAACTCACCAATGAGCAATTCAAGCCTTATGAGACCAATTGCTCTTTGCCCCCCTTGGTTAAATGCTTGGATCATGAGGCGGCTCTGGGAGAGTTCATCGCTTGAGATTTCTAGTTCTTTCATAGCACGTACGGACATAATATTGACAGCAGATCCCCCACCAATAAGTATCTGATTCATCTTCTGTTCTCGGACATACGCACTAACAAACAAAGGTCGATTGTGGGTTTTGAACTCAACAGTTAAATCATCATCATCAAAAATAATAGTCGTTGCACAATCCACTGGTGATTTATCATCGATTTTGAGTTTTTCCTCAAATTTAGTGCCAATTTGTGTGATTTGAGGATTTTCAGATTTGATGACATTACAAGAAGTGAAATCATTGGTATCGTCACTTAAATACCCCTTGGATATAAATTCTCTCAGTGTCACGGGTTGCCGAACCTCTTGAAGGAGCTGAAAATCTGAAGGAATTGATTTTGTGGCCACTCCCTTTTGTTTCTTTGTTGCATTTCGTCGTTTCATCGTCACTTTCGGCTTTGTCGAATGAATGCTTTTCGAAAAGATGTATTTCTTTATTTTTGGCTTGCAAGTCCTCTTTCGAGTGACTAAAGTCCATCCTTCGTTGTCATCTTCAATAACGTCTTCAATTGAGGATTTTTCAATCTCCTTGGACGAAGCACTGCTTGTTATGGCTAAAACTTCTATTGGACAACACACAGACCCAAACATTATTGTTGTTTGGTTTACCGATGCTTTATCTTTCTCGAGAAGGATCTTTCCTTGACGGGTCAATTCCATAATTTTGTCTTTAAAGACAAAGCATTTAGTGAGAGAGTGGCCAATCAGGCGATGATAACAGCAATAGTTTGGATCATTGATTTGACCGGCTTCCTCTGGGCGCTTCATTTCGGGAAGTTCAAGGAGTTTCTCCTTGAAAAGGTTATCAAACATCCCTTGCAAATCAAATTCAAGAAATGGGTATTCTTTTTCTTGCATTTCTTTTAACGTGGGTCTTCTTACTGACCTATTTTGAGATGGATCCAACTTCTCAATGACCTTTCGCCTCACTTTGGTAGCAATTTTCATGGGAGCTGTATTTATTGCCATGAATTCCTTATTATTGAGTCTTGAAGGAGGTTTGCCCCCTTTTTTATTTTCTTGCCTTTCATTGTTTTGACGAGACGGCTGCACTCGCGGAGCTTGAATAGGAAGCCCATCAGTTGCATTGGCCGTGATACTTAACTCCATGTCATGAGCACGAGTAGCTAATTTTTCAAATGTGTTTGGGCGTATACCCTGCAGAATGTAGCTTAGGCTCCAATGCATTTCTCGAATGCACATTTCTATGGCAGAGGGTTCAGACAGCCTGTCCTTGCAGTTGAGACTCAGACTTCTCCACCTATCAATGTAGACCACAGGTTCATCCTTCCATTGACGAGTGTTAGTCAACTCCAGCATACTGACGGTCCTTCTAGTGCTGTAGAAGCGATTCAAGAACTCTTGTTCCAGCTGTTCCCAACTGTCGATGGACCCCGGAGTGAGATCAGTGTACCAATTAAATGCGTTGCCCTTCAAGGATCGAACGAACTGTTTGACTAGCAGGTCACCATAGGTTCCAGCGTTATTGCAGGTTTCGACAAAATGGGCCACATGTTGTTTTGGACTACCCTTCCCATCGAACTGTTGAAATTTAGGCGGTTGATATCCAGCAGGCATTGCGAGGTTGTCGATTCTAGCAGTGTAAGGCTTGCAGTAGGTAAAACTTGACTTTGAACCACCTTCCTTTTTATCTTTGATTACGCCTTCAACAAGTTCCTTCAGTTGTTCCACCGGGATAGTTCCATCGGCGGTCACATATACTTCCTTCACCTTGTCTTTGCCTTTAGATGAGGGAATTTCACGCTCTTGGTTCGCATGGCTTCCTTGAGGAGCGTGATCTTTCTGGGTGAGCAGTTGAGCAATGAGAGCATCTTTGTCCTTGATGTGTTTCATCATGGTTTCCATCATCTTGGACATGTTCGAAACTTGCTCTTCGAGACTTAAAGTATTTGTCATCATGGCAGGCATTGCAGCAGAAGAAGCAGCAGAATCTTCAATAGAAAATCTTGAATGAAGAGTTTCATGTGAAGAGGCTGATCCAGTGCTTGATGAATCATCGTCATGCTTAGAAAACTTGGATTCGGATCCAAATTCGAGCATAGCAAGAGCCTTCTCAATCGAGGCAGGAACGTCTTGGATCCCCATCGTGGAAGAATAGCTCATTGGTGATGTTGAACCGAAGACGGGAGTTGGCGCCGATGGAGCTTCCATGCTACTTTGGGTGGAGGCTCTCGTCATACTCCTTGTCACAGGACCAATAGCGCGGGTATTGGTGGCAACATGTGCAGCTTCCTAAACAGGCTTAGCATCAGTAGCTTTGGAACGTGCACTTATTATTTTGTTGCTTTTTGGTGCCATTGATGATGTAGGTAGTTGAATATTCGAAGAGAAGAGATGGAAGGCAGAGATGGTCCCACTGAACGTGCCAAAATTTGTACGCGATAAAATTTCAAGTCTGCAAACAAAAACAAGAAATATACATGACAAATGTGTAATATAAATTTAAGAAAATATGTGAGTACAATCTCTGGGGTTTTCTCGAACTTGTAGAGAGTTTCCCTCGATTCTCCTCCTCGAATGCTAATCCAAGGGCTTCGCAGCTTGTTCTTGGATCCACCACCGATTCCTTCAAATCTTGATATGGAAGATTTGAAGAACTTTAGAAGATATTTGGAGGCTCAACCCTTGATATAAGGGGGACTTGGAGAGCTTGAAGAACCGGGCCTTTGTAACTTGGAGCTCCAATGCTTTGAGTGTATGAGATGCCTCTTAGTGTCTCTGTGTCTCTGTCTGTGTGTCCTTGATTTGGTAGAGAAACCTCTATTTATAGTTGTAACAAGAGGTAGAGGTTGAAAGCATGGATACCACTCTACTTGCCTTGCAAGACGTACAGTCATATTAGGACTGTGCCGGCTAAATATTATCTCTTTATTTTATATTTGCTAATAAAGAGATAATACCAATAAGTAACTCCTTGATTGGTTGAACTTGTAGGGACACATGACTTAGCGCCATTTGATTTGACATGCTATTGTAATATATAAGAAGTATATATGGATTAAACGACTCTAAATATTATCTCTTTTAACAAGAAATAAATACTTAGGTATTTATCCAATAGACATGTAACATGATATGATTTAGTTGGTGTAGATATCCCAGCAATTTGAGTTGATTTTGAACACCTCAACTTGACACGTGGCAAAGTATAATTGGCCATTCAAGAACCAATTTT